TACTTATTTATTGATTTGAATTATTTTACTTATTTATTTTTGTTTTATTTTATTTATTATTTTTTGTTTGTTTTTAGTTTTCAATTTTTAAGTAAAGTAACAAAAATTTTTTTTTCATGTCTGCATTTTTAGAGGAATTCTGAGTTTTAGTAATTTGTGTTGGTCTGGGAAGGTAATTATAACTATTTTATCCTCCAGACAGAGTTTACAGTTTTTGGATTTATTGTTTTAGGCTGATGCTGTTTTCCTTATTTTCCATGATATTTTTGGTGTGATTTTGCTTTTGTTTTTAATTTCTGATTTATGTTTAGAAAACAGTGTGCTGTTTGCAGATTTACTATTTGTAAAGGATGTTTGGTGTGCATAGTTTCTTTGTTTCCAGGATCCTTCAGTTACTGATATTTATATTTTTTCTTTTTTATCTGCTGATTTTGTATTGGCTTGGTATATTACATTGTTATGCAAGCGTTTGCTGTTTAAGGGAGATCTGTTCTTTGCTCTGCAGTTACATGTGAGTTTGATTTGTGCAGGTGATTTTTTTGGATGTTTTCCTGTTGTGCTACTTTGTGTCATGTTTTTGGTGCAACTGTAGCTGATTTTTACTGCATTCTTTTTTTATATCTTGTAGAGAGTAACTGATGTGGGGAAGTGTTTGAGTTTAATGAAGATTTTGTTGTATGGGGGGTTGAACCATATGATGATTCTTTTCCTGTTTGCTTGTGTTATGTGGTGTGTATGTGAGTTTAGAACCTGTTTCATAATCACAAAAAACAACACATATGGCCTCATGCTTGTGTTTAAGTATGAAACAGACTGTCGCCGTTGGTTGACCTCAATGTCCACTTTTATATTTAGATATGCTCTAGCCCTGATATTGTGCACTTTAACCCATAATTAAAAATATATATATAAGAAGTGAAGGATTTTTATTTATTGATCTGACAGACTCTATTATTTAAATGTTATTTTTAGTGGATACCCATATTTGAATAGACACTCAATCACACACACACACACACACACACGTGTGTGTGTGTGTGCATAAAGTGAGAGAGAAAGAATTAAGTGAACTGTTACAAATCTGATGCTGTTTTTGGCCTAAGCTTATGCGTATAAAATAGTCTATATATTCAAATGTATAAGAAGGTATACTGTTCTTTGGATGTTCAATAATCATTGTATTTGTGTTATAAATTCCATTAAACACCCACACACAAAAAAGGGATGCTCTGAAAGTAATGGCTCATATTTATTTCCACAGAAATTATAACAGATATATAGAGCTAAATAACACCATTGGCTGGAGCAAGTTTTCAGATACAAAACACATTTTTTCACACATGCACCACATTTTCATGGGTTCACAGCTGTTTGCACCACCCCCAAAAACATGGCTTGTTTCACACATTAATGTCAAAATTGTTAAAATGCATTATCCACCACAATGGATCCAATTTTTCTGCACTGAACAAGCTCAGAAAATCAGCAGGGGATGAAATACTTATTTTCCCCACTGTATGTTTATAATCAGTATTGCTGCCTGATATTATATTTCTTCAACACTACCCTAGTCACACTCCTCATTCAACCCCTCCGGTTGATGACTTAAGGCTGCCACTTTATTTGAGTTTCACCAAATTTAAGGTTGGGCTAAATTTAGCTTTCCCTTTCTCAAAAGATACATTCCAATAAAAACCTTATACTGTACAGAATAAATTATTTAAAATGTTCATTTGAAATAAATAAGTAGAAATAAAAATGTGTTCTTTGAAAAACAGGGCATACAAGTCATTAAAGATTTTTAAAAGATTGTTTATAAAATTAAAGCAAGAAAGATTATTTATAAAATTAAAGCAAGAGTCTAGTAAATATGTCTCCAGCTTTGATCAGGCTCAGATCTACTCAGTTCAACTAGCCACATTAATTTTATTTCATTTTTTTTTTTACTTACTTTCTTTCATTGTTTTTTTCTTTCTTTCTTCTTTATTATGAACAATATGAATGAAATGTATTTCAGTCAATATTTTGAGGCACTGAGTTAAAACAATTAATTATGGATCCAACTGAAGTCAAGAATGAAAATGATGCACTACAATGTTTGTTGCTTTGAATTAGATATACTTTGGACTAAGCTCGACAAGCTTGACCCCCAGAGTCACCTCTAATATATATATATATATATATATATATATATTTATACCAGTCTGAATATTTGAAAAATCTTATTCAAGAAATCAGCACTACTTCATGGCCGAGGTGGTCTAAAGTATGTCGGATCTAATGACAGTTTCTCCTACAAAAGGGGATGCAGGTTTAAATCCTGCCAGAGTGTAGATATTTTTTCTTTAATAAGATTTCTTGAATAGATGGCAGCTGAAAATAAATATGTATATGTAAAATGAATTGTGTGTGTGATAAGAATGTTTCTGTAGACTCCTTATAAGTTGTACCTATGTGTTATAAACTGTTTGAAATGAAAAGCCACATGAATACTACCTAAAGAAGTGTGTGTATGCTTAAGGTTATATATATATCTAACAATCTGTGGGCTTGTTTGGTGGCTGAGGTGATTGTGCATTTCTTACTGTTTTCACTGGCTGGTGCACAAGCCTAGCTAAAAGGTCACAATTTGGAATGATGATTTGTTAAATCTGGCAGCTCCACCTGAAAGTTTAATGCAACAGCATCTGCTCAATTTGAAGTGGCCATCAGCAAGACTTAGCTATCCTTAGTAAATATCTCTAGATAATAATATGATTTCTACAGGTCTAATGTTTATTATTTATTAGCATATAAATAAATTAAAACAAAAGAGGCATTTGGTTAGAATGGATCACATCTAAAAGAAGGCCATGTTTTAAGGGTATCATCCAGTCCTTAGGATCAAATTCCCTACAGAGGATTTAAAAGATCAACGTGCAAGCCAATGCACTAAAATGAGGTGATAAGCATCAAAATCAGTAGTCTTTATCAATATTGTGAAAGTAGCAGTTTTTAATCTCTTTTCCTCCTCTGTAACTATTCTCAACCCCTTTTCTTGTCATGTTTGTTTTTTTGTTTGGAGTGCCAAACACACTCATATATATATATATATATATATATATATATATATATATATATATATATATATATAGTGTGTAGCATGTGTGGGTCAGGATATTTGCTGTAAAATGTGAAGTGATTTTTGTTTGCTTGGCTTGGCTTGATTAAATGAAATGAAATTAAGCAAAAATTACATGAAATAATCACTGCAATCAAGAAAAGCAACCATGCTTAAAATATTGCAGTCATCACCACTGCATTTCGAGGTTATCAAGAATAGTTTGTATGAGGGGTGAGGTGAGGGCTGAATAAAAAGTGGAAAGGAGAGAGTGGAATGGAGAAATTGTGAAGGAGAGAAAAGGAAAATGAAAGAAAAATAGAGTTCAATTGATAGGGATAGAAAAAGGTAGAAAGAAGATGAAAGATAACAGATCCAAATATGAATAGTATTTTCTTTTTATTCAAACGCATTGTATATCTGTACTGCAAGCCTCATTCACCATGGTACAGATTACATAGCAAATGAGATTATTCTTCCATAATCAAATGTATCTGTAGAATATTATAAGTGGGCACTTTCCATTGTAGAGACCGAAATAAGGAGAGAGAGAACTTTTGAGTGGGAGTAGAGGAGGCAGAAGAAAAAGATAAAGAACATTTCAGTCAGAGTGAATGAGACAAAAGAATGAATGTTTGAGTAAAAATGGAAGAGGTTGAAGAAAATCTTTGAGTGAGAATAGAGAAAGCAAAGAAAATGAGCTGATGAGCAAGTATTGAAGAGGTAAAAGAAAATTAATTTTCAGATAAAAGTAAAGGAAGCAGGAGAAAGAGAGTCATCTTTTTTGAATGAGGATGGAAGAAATAAGAAATATAGAAAGGGAGTAAGCCTGAGTGAAAGTGGAAAAATATAAAAAAGGAGTGAATCTTTGAGTGATGGTGGAAGCAGTGAGATATAGAGTCCCTGAGTGGAAGCAGAATAAAGTGGGAAACTGACAAAAAGAGGAAAATTGAAGGAAGAGAATTAAAAACAAAAGAAAGAGGAAGAGATGCATTTGACAAAGAAGGTAGAGAGTAATAGAAAAGGAATCAGGAAGCTTGAAAGAGATTGTGAATATTAAGAAGATTTTGGAACATTTAAAATCAGTTAAATCCTGTCATGGTGTACCCACCATTGATTTATTTTAAAGTAACAAAGAGATAGCAAATAAGTTGTCATATTTGTTGATTTTTGCAGGGAAGATGTTTTCTGGTTTTGATGGCAATAGGGAGAAGAGAGAGAGAGTGAGAGGAGGATAGAAGGTATATTATTAGAAAGTAAAGAGAAAGTACAATAAGGATGAGTACACTAAGAAACCTGTTAAAATAATGAAAAAGAGAAAAAAGAGAGGAAGAGTTAAAAATGACAAGAAGGGGAATATTTAAAGATAGGCTATGAAATAAAAAACAAACAGAGAAAAGAAAGAATAAAAGAAATATAATTATCAGGCTAGGGATAAATGCTAAGGTATAAAGACAGATAATGAGTAGAGGCAAAACAGGGAGAGAGTGTAAGAATTCAAAGAGAGAGAGAGAGAGCTGAAGAATATGGAGAGAGAAAGAGTGTGTAAGAATTCAGAGAGAGTGTGTATGAAGTCAAGGAGAAAGAAAGAAAAAAATTCAAGGATGTAGAGAGCAAGTTTTAAAGTGAGATTAAGTATTCAGAGATGTAGCATGAGACATCTCATTGAAATTGAATAAGAGAGTAAGGATCAAGAGGGAGGCACAGAAAATGGAATTTAGACAGAAAAGAAGGGGAGAGCAAGGATGTTGAGAGAGGAGAGTAAAATGTAAAAAGTTATGTTTAGAGAAATTAGATTAAAAAAAACAAAAATTAAATAAGAGAGAAATAGGTAAAGACATCAGGAGAGAGAGTGTGAGAAATAGTTGAAAACAAGGTGTATGTGGTTACCATGACTTACTGAGAGTTGTGGGTCTGCGTCAGAGAAGACATCAAACAGGTGATTCCTCATCATGGGCCAGTGGTCACCACAAATGATCTCTGCAGCAATTGGCACCTGGTTCAATGCTTGCATTGCTTCACAACGGCTCTGTATACAGGGAAAAATGAAAGATAAACAGGCTTGAAATAATGCAAAGAATGCAAACCCCAGCAGGAGAAAAAAGTAAAAAGGAACAGGAAGGAAATGAAAACTGTTCCTCCCCTCCCCACCAACAAAAAACATAGGGCTGTGTCTGAAAGGTGCTTTAAGGTGTACAGGTGTCAGGAAGTGAATAATAGTAATTTTTTTAAGGAGTGAAATTAGAAAGGAAGAAGCTAACCTTGACATCAAATTTTTACAAGCAAACCAAGAAGAAAGATGAATGATTTTGCATGCAGTTATTACATTTAATGTAGGAATATGATTTCTGAAATATTAACATTGACATGGATCAAGTACTACTAAATATGATTACTTCCTCTTTGTGTAGGTGGGGGAAAGAGATAGTGAGTATATAGGATAGATGAGAGAGAGAAAGGGGGTGTAAAAGAGATGAAGAAAGCAAGCAGAGTGACAAGAAAGACTAAAATAGTGTAGTAGAGATAGTGATACAGAAAGATGGTATAAAAGATGAAGAGAGGGAATATACAGGTGACAATGAAAATGTTTATAAAAAGAGAGAGGAGAAAAGGAAAATGTTGAGAAGAGAGGAAGAAAGTGCATAGAGGTGTAGAGAAAAAAGGAATATAGTGAGAGAAAATATAATGAAAGTGATGAACGAAGGCATAGACAGAGAATGAAGAGAGAGTGAGGTACAGGAGATAAAGAAAGGAATTGTAGAGAACAGATATAGATGATAAGTGTATAGATGTTGGGGAGAGAGAGAGATTAAACAAAAGACAATGAGAGATATAGAAGATAGAGAAAAAGAGAGAAATATGTACAGGACAGATGAAGAAAGAGTGGGCTCAAAAAATATAAAGAGAGATGAAGAAAGTAAATATAATGTAAAAATATATATGGCAGAAAAGGGTGTACAAGAGAGATGAAGAGAGAGTGGATATAAAGAACTTGAGAGATGTATTAGAGAACTATATAAAAATACAATACAATATAATGAGTGGGTTTATTTCATAGAAGAAAAGTGGTGGACATGTATACAAAAAAAGGAGATAGAATATGAGAAAGAAACACAGAGATGGAATGAGACGAAAACAAAGAGAATAAGGTTTGGAAGGAAAAGAAAATGTGAAGGAGAAATTAGAAAGAAATACTGAGAGTAATTGGAGAGAAAAAGAGAGATTAAAAGACTAAGAGTAATAAAGGCTGTAAAGGGAAGAAATAAAACAGGCAGAAGATGAGAAGCAGTGAGTTAGAGAGAAAGATATGAAGAAAGTGAGAAGGTGGCTGAAATAGGAGAAGATTAGAAGAGAGAATGATTAGCAAAGAAGATAATCTGTGGTTTTCTCCTTTTCCCAAAATAAAAATTTAAAGAAAGAAATAGAAAATAAAGATGATAAACGTCAGAGGGGGAAAGATATGAGGAAGTGAGGGAGAAATAAAGAACTAGTGTATACATTGAAAGGTAGCTTAAGAGAGAGTAAAATAGTGAGAGAGAGAGAGAAAAAATGATACAGAGAACAAAGGAGCAAGTCTTTAACCAATGAATTGGTGTGACAGAATGTTTAATTCAAGGCTCTTCTTTCACTCTATTTGTACCTGGATTTTTCACAGACACTATTGATTTGCAGCATTATAGAGTCAGTTGGAAAGAAAATTTAATTTTAATTGTGAATTTGGACATTTCTGTTGTCACTCTCTTGCTTTTACAGAACTCAATAATTATAGAAGAATAGAATCTGTTATGACATTAAAACATCTGAGCTGAGAATTTTTGGAAGAAATTCAAAAGAATATTGAAAGCAAAGGTTATTAATGAGGAAATATCTTTGAAAACTGTACCAAAGAAAAAAGACCAAGATTAGTATGCATGTATTATGACAGATATGTCAGAAATAGGCAGAAACATCTAACTGAAATGTCTTTATGACACTCATTACATATAAACTTGAACTGAGTGCATGAATAAGTGAGCTTTTTGATTTCTGTGGAGTGACAAGTTTGTGTGCAAAAAGTAATTGATGGGTGTGGAGTTGTAACAAGTTGTTTTACACTAGATGGTGGTTTGACTCACATTGGTCAGTAGTTTGAATTATGATGACTGTGGTTCACATTGGCATACTGTTTTGACACAGCTTTATAGTCATCGATAACAACAATGAAACCTTTTTTCCAATGACAACTTTGTTCAGAAGCAGCCAATAGTGAATTCTCCAGGATAAAAAGGACTAAACTCTGACATTTTCTTCTGGCAAATTGTTTACAAATACTATTATATTTTTTATGAATGCTTAACAGTGGTTCTCAAACAGTGCAACATGTCTCATAGGTGCAGCAAAATAATATAGCCGGTGAGGCAGAATGATTTAAAAAATGAAAGAATTAGAAACAGTTTAAAAAAATTCATATGCCAAAAATAAATACAATTTAAAAATTAAAAAATATCATTTTGCATTACTTGCAATTGCATGCATGAGTCCCAGTAGTTATAAATAATTATCGACCAATTTTATCATTGTGATATTTTTGCATTATATCAAGTATTAAGAATATAGTAACTGGGCTCTGTAAATTGAAGGAGAGAGTTATCAATGATAATGTTTTGATTTTGAATACGTGATTATCTCCCTTTAACCCACTCTCTGTTTTTTATTTTTAAATGTACTTTTTATCACACAAAATTTGGTGAGGCAACAACAAATTTTAATTCTGAAAATGCTGCCCAGAGAAAAAGTTTGGGAACCACTGGCTTAAAAAGTTGATTGAAATGATCAGGGTTTTGACATATTTACTACTAAACATTAGTCAAAAAAGTGTCATACAAAGTGCTTCTGCTAAAAATCATACAAGTATCACAAATTATTGTTAATAAATTTATTTTTTCAATGTTTGCTCTGTTAATATAGCTGTGTGGCAAATTTAGTCCAACAAAATGTTAGAAAAACAATTAAGATAGAATGATAACATTAATCTTACATGCTATTGGCAGTGTGTTTTTCCCTACTGGGAGCTTCATTTTTATATCCTAGTACTAGAATTGAAACAGTCCAAAATAATCTATTGTATATGAGGGAAAAAAAAACCTACATATGTTCAAAAAGATTAAGGGTATGTGCTTGCTAGTGTTATTGACTCTATGATACAAAGAAGAAAATGGGTCAGACTTATTCTGTTGTCTATAACAGAAAATGGTTGATGGAATAACCTAGATATGCTGCTTACAGATTAACATACCTGCCTTCAAATGCAGATAAAGTTAGTGAACAAGAGGACAGCAAGCAAGCCAACTGCTGGTAGACCATTTGGAAATTTGGTTCTATGAATTTGTGACAGTTTGCTTTATTTTTACTACAAGCTATTTCAGCTATCAGATGGAAGACAGAGCTTTCAACATCAAATTCATCCCAGAATTCAAAAGTTCAGTTACAGGAATACCTGCAGCCAAAAGCCATTACAACTTGTCGTGTATTTGTGATATACCAACAACTAAGTACTGAAGTGTGGACTGATGTTGAGCAAATAAAGTGTGCCTTCCTTGAGGTATTTGCAACAGAATTCTTTACAGCTTATAAATGGTTTAATATGTGATGACAAAGAATGACATTTCAAGTGCAACCACACCAACCAATGCAGTCTAAATATACCATATTTGAATAAAGGAAGTTGACATCACATACACACCTGATCATGAGGAGGTACAGGGACCATATAATGCTGGAGATCTCGTCTGAGTGAGGCCTCCCACCAACCAATGTACAATGTTTCAGAAAGGGGTGCATCATGGGTGTAATGAGTAAACACTGGTCAATTGGACTCCACACCACATAAAACATCATCATGTTTTCAGGGCAACTTCATCAAAAAACATTGACAGGAGCAATGAATCTTTGGGCAGTGAGATGCTGCTCCAATGCAAGTCATGCTCCTTCAACAGTCTCCTGATGATCTATCAACTAGCCCTAGCATGTTAGACAACTCATCTGAAGAGACTTGTACCATCCCTCCATTGAAAAGCATGTGCCAAAGGAAGCTTGGAGTAAAGAAGAGTGCCAACCCCTAAGGCTCAAAATAAAAAAAATGATAGTTCAGGAAAACTGGTGTCTCAGATATAGAATGAGATTTAATAAATGAAAGCTGATTTAAGTAGAAGGGAGTTATTTTCAATGTGAAGGAAATTGGTAGTTCATGATCCCATTGCTAGATGACTCTAGACTGCATGTAATTGTATTAAAAGAATAGCAGGAGGAGTAAACTGGGAGGAAAAGGTGGGTGAAGGGATGTTGTAGAAGTGAGATGCAGTGGAGAGACAAGTGAGAGATAAGTGATACATGTCTGAAACAGAGCAGAGTTCATATAGACATGTGATGCTAATAGAATGGCAAATGCACATTGTTTTGATGAAAAAAAACTCTATTTGACATTGAGATGGGGACTGCAGGATATTAACATAAAAACTGATTTGTTAATGGTGTAAAAGGTCATGACTTGAATTGATGGTTATAGTGACAGTAGAATAATTTCTTAGTTTAGTAATGATGATCTAATAAGCATGGTGTCTGTTGGTTCCAATCTGTGGCAATGACTTCTATGAAAATACCCAACCTAAATTTATAGACAAAATCCTATGCTGCAATTTCTGCTTCTCCAATAAAAATGGACAATTCTCAGTCTCATCTGTCACATTTTTGTTCTTCCTTGCTTGGAAATCAGAACATTATAAACACTTGACTGTATATCTTTTGTGTATGAACACCATTCTTACTTTGTGAACTTTTGCTTTATTACTGTCACTTTTTTTTGCAAGTGTTTTTATTTTATTGTATTTTGACTTTTATATATATATATATATATATATATATATATATATATATATATATATATATATATATATATATATATATATATATGTATATATATATATATGTATATATATATAGATAGATAGATAGATAGATAGATAGATAGATAGATAGTCCCCTGCAAGGCCA